AGCTCACTATATCGTACATTACGATGAATGCGCGGGTATATGCACTTTTGGTGCGGCGGATACATTGATGGATGCTGCGAAAGTAATCATTCGAGATGATTAATGAAACTCTCATCTGGATTGCTTGAAGCGAAGCAGCACGAACTCGAAAGGAAATGCGTTTTGGCACATATATCTTGGACGCGAACAAAGATAAAACATCTGTTTACGCGAGATATAATTTCACCTTGCTACTTATAGAGCATCTAACAGGCAATGAATAATAAATGAATAAGAATCGAAGTTGCAGATGTATGGACACAGACACACGTTCTGTTTCTTTACATCCGGTTCCACTGATATTTTTACTTCCACGGTAGAAAATCGGAAATCGCAGGAAAACGCGCAAGGAATACGAGCTTGTATGTATGGCAAAATTCGCAAATGCGCGATCGCATCGAGAATAATCGGATTAAGCTTCATAAACAGATCGAGAGAAGATTATTTGTGGAGAATATAGCCGCCCGACTCTCCCGGAGGGCGATGTTACTTTTTGATTCCTATCCAGCCAGGATGGTGCTCGAACTATTTTCTAAATACGCAACTCCTAACACCGTGGAGAGAGGCAAGCGTCCAAATATTCATGCGACCTCATATCGCGAAACGGATGATTCGTCTCTTGCGATACGTAAACTGGATTATGCGCCACTGAGCCAGGATAGAATCGTAGTCGGGTGGTGTACAGTGGATAAAGTAGAAAAGCGGAACGTTACGGGCGCAGACTCGAAGAATATAAAATCAAAAGGAGTTAAGGTTCTAAAACATTGAACGCCCGTGCAACTTTGTTGCCTCCGCAGAGCATTTATGTCTCCCCGCGGGAGTATTTTAAAGTGAATTCAAAATAGGCGATTTTTCTTGCGTTTAATATTTCATTATTTTATCGTGAAAATGTACATCGTAAATGTTTCACAAATAAAATTCATTTATGAATACTACGTAATGGGAAAATGTCGGGAAAGAAAATTCTTCTTCATTAATAATGATAAAATTGGAAACATAATATTGTTAATTATTTATCAGTACACATTTAAAGTAATACGTAATATTTTCACATGCCAAATAACGTTCATGCAATATTATATAATATTTTCACTGCCAGCGCCAGATATTTTCACCCATTTATTCGCAATTTTCGTCTCGAATTCTGTTTTAATTATTTTTAATTTGACCCTTAAATGAAAAACGTCACGTTCTTCCGTAACGTTTTTCGAGACACTATTTGTCCATGTCCTTAAATCCTTACTTAATCCTTTAAAATCTCTCTGAACAAAGGTGGGGAAAAAAGTCCCAGTCAAGATTCGACCGTAATTTAAACGATAAACCAACCAAACGCGACGGGTGGATGGGAAAGTGTTGTCCTAAAAAAGAACGTCTCCGCGCGTCTACATGCCGGAGGTTGTTTACTCACCCCCCGTGATGTGTTTGCGCAATCTCAATACAACGCCGTTGTTTTGCCAGGAAACGTTTTTTTCCCCAGCAGAGAATACAATGAGTACGACGTAGTACACAATAAGATTTGTGCATTCCAAAAATACGCCTAACATTTTGCGCAAACTGTATTCGTTTTTACATTCCGCAATTGAGCGCGAGAAGATAAAATATGGAAGCCACACTGATCCAAATTTCTTGTCTGATTTCAAATGTCAATCGTTTTATGTAAATCATACATTATAATTAAAATGAATTTCTACAGATTGCGCGAAAATTTTAATTAGCTTATATACACGCGGAGGAAGCTTTATTTTGATGATTATATATTCCAATTAAAACTTCATTTGGAGCTCATTGTACGCGCTCCATGGTCGAACGGCTCGCAGAAACGTACGTCGCGACGGAAAAGTTTCTCTCTTATTTCTCCCGCTGATACGTCCGGTTATTTTTTGTTCGCGAAAAGTTACGAACGATAGCATCCGCTTAGTATTATGCTGGTACGAAGTTTTCCGACTACCGGCACGTAGTTGACTCGCTGAACAATATTTTCGTGCTCGGACAAGCCGATAAAAAGTACCGGGATACTTCCCGTAATTAACTACCATGTGATGCTGAAAAAAGCGTAAAAAGGGAAAACCACGATGAACAGTTGTATGTTCGCGCCTGTGCGTTAAAAAAAAATAAAGAAGTGGAAAAGAGCGGGGGAGAAAATAAAAAAAGAATCAGAAAAAGGAAAAAACGAAGGAGAACAGAGCGAGCAGTACTTTTCCCGATGACAATACGACGCGAAGGAAGCGGAGACGAGCAATTTAGGGCAAGACGGCAGGCGAGGTACGCCGGAATAGATTAATTTCCTACGTTGTTTTCCTATCGCATCCGAACTATCCTATTATCGATTCCGTTGCTAACGACAATCGTCGTAGGAAGTCGTAGTTCCTGTAGCGCCAAAACGAGGCTGCGGTCGCGCAACAAATTGCAGCAGGAAGCGTCTCGGCGCTTCCAGCGAGATTGAATGAATTACGTCTCGGCACTAATTTATTTCGAAAACAACACGACGTTTCGTATTATATCCGGAAAGTAATTCCCACCGATCTGTCGTAACGGTGAGCATTTTCAGCGAACACCGGCCACGTCATCCATCGCGGACGATAGGTGAAAAACAGGCGCGCTAAAATTTATATTAAAATTCATGGGACACGCGTGTTTCTCTCGCCGCGATTACACCTCCGCGTGGATGCGCATATTACGTCTGCTCTATATACATTGCCGGCGAAAATTGCGAATGCTGTACCACGCGACCCTCGGGATTTTATGCATTTCGTAGCCGACGATCAATCGCCAGCCCCTCTAGCCTATAAACACGGAAGTCGACACGGGTTACGAAATATTAATTCCCGAGAAGCCGGCCACGACGTAGCATATGATTAAACCAGTCCGATAAAAAGGACATCCATGGAGTTTACACGTAGCCGTCGAGGGTTTTTCGTCGGCACATGAAACGCGGAATTTAAAGGTAGATAGAAACATATTTAATACGTTCCGCGGACCAGGCAAAAGCCATATAAAAACTACGCTCGCATTTGACAATTATTCTTAAAACTCGGCTTGAAAAACATATCCTCTACGTCAGATTTTTAAATAATTAAATTGTAATGAAAAGGCAATGACTATAATAACAGAGAGACTTTTGAATTCTATATCGCAATAATCGTAATTTTTTTATGACACACTGAGACCATATTTTATACATACGGAAAATAATGGAGCTGGAAGGAATTACTCGATGCTACTGAGTTTTTATCGCGAAAAAATCCGTAGTTTGTCTAAAAGGAAGACGTAAGGTAATATAGTATAATAGGAAATAATAAGAAATTGTCATGAGTGATTATGTATGATGATTTTTTTTTTTTTTGAAATAATGCTCGAATTTTATTCAAGAAAGTTTTCACGTTCAATTATGATCGCTAACTCTCGCACTTAACGGAATGCGAATTGAGCCAAATGAAAGGACCGTTGAATGCGAACTTCGGTTAGATTAAACGGTGAGTATACCAAATCCTCAAACCAGTATTGAACGAAGCCATCTCGGCCAATTCGCCAGAAAGGTTAAGTAGGCATTAAAAAAGGTATATATATATATATATCGTTTCGATAATTCGATAAGCCGCTCGATGTCTCTGACCATTACTTTCTTTTTTTCTTTTAAATATCCACCGACTCATGGAGTTCCAATCTGTTTCAGTAATAACTAGAGTAAACGATCGGACGTGACGTCACTCGCTTCGAGCACCACTAAGTTGGAAGCGATGAAATTGTCGGGGATATCGGCGAAGAACGAGGCAGGCCGGTATCCTTAAAGTGGACAACAGATTTGCATTTTCACAGCGCAGCCATTATACCTTAATGTCGGACTTTGTTTGTCCCGAAAATTGATGCTCGCCATATTATTCTCCTTGTTTTGTACTTCCGGCCTATAACGACAATTCCTCCCTCGCAAATCGTGGCGTTCGCCCCGATCAGTGCCATTTTACCTTGACGAGGGAGGTTTATTCGTTTGGGGGAGCATTCCCTTCGGCGTAATCTCAATATTCAATACAATCGTGATTTCATACGGCCGGAAAAATCTTAACGAATCATCGCCATCGCACTTTTCCGTACGGGCGAAGAAAAGGCGATCGAAGTAGGAGGAATTAAATTTACGAGCGACACATCTCTTGAAAAATAACAAATAGTGTGAAGTAAAAAAAAAAAAAGAAACTGAAATATGAGTCACCTTATGCCAAATTAGTTTGGAAATTTTCGAATGTGAGCAGTCGGGAATGAAATTATCCGTCTTATTTGTACCACCCCTCGGGCAACATCGCGAATTAATTGACGTACTATTTGGCTCAACTAATTATTCGTCTGCGACGCGAATAACTTTCCAGAGCGCGTGTCTCTGTTTCCCCTGGCCTACTAATTACGTACAAATATTCTGCTACGCCGGCACTCCTTTGGCACAAGCTTATGCCTCGGTACACACACATATAGCGCTCGCGCAGCGGGGAAATCGTACAGATTCAGGAAGAGCAGCAAACATTACCCACACACTTAGCAGTTACAACGCGGATGCATGCTGATACTGATTGTGCGCCGTTGTTTATCATGCCATTACTACGATTACCGCAAACAATCTTATAACTTGAGACACTCCTGCGTGTCCTGTCGCCGTTACCGTGTCAACGAAATAACTCGTATGCTTAAACTCGAGGTTTACCACCGAGATGTAAACTTTGCAGTTGATGTCACCGTCGCGCCTCTTGCGACGCGAAAGTGCGCAGAAAGTATTAAAAATACAATTGCAACGTCGGGGAATTTACCGTGTGAGAAGGAAGATCGCTGCCCCTATTATAGCGACACACAATACCGTATTTGGTTACGGTTCTCGGCTCGTCGGAGGAGTCCTTCGTTTTCAAGAACGCGTCGGAAAGCGCGAATGAAAGGCGACGTTCGCGGCGTGGAATAATGAATTAATTGCGTCTAAAACTCACCGATGGTGGTGAGCACAGTCAGAGAATAGAGGAAGGCCTTAGCGAAGTTCCATTCGTACTCCGGCACACGGCGTTCCGTTACGGTTTCGCTGGGGGAACTCCCGGTATACGTCCCGGCATTTTGGGTCGCCATCATGTCCTCCGTGATCCTTTTCACTAGTTGGTCCTGAAACCGCGCGATCTCCTGAGCAGCCAGCCTCGTCCAGTTCTCACGGTAGAGAATGTTCAAACTCTCCGTGATTATCCATATGTTCTCCACGGTCTTCGCCCGGGCCTCGTGATTAAGCTTGATCACACCGAAAGTTATTAATTAGCCGGCGTTTGAAATGCCGTCGAAACGTCGCGAAGAGAGAGTCCACGTCCGTCGTTAGGATCATAACTGTTACGCAAGTTGATTAAATTCAATTCAGCCACGTCTGTTAATTAGTCGGACGGCTGTGCAAATACGCAATACGTTTCGCAGCTTATACCTCGAGATGAACAGCGAACTACGATCGCTGGGTCCATAATCTGGTCGAGTCGTACGCGTCACAGGACGCACGGGAGTTTCACGGAGAGGGTAATTCGACGGAATATTGAAAAGGAAATAGAGTGAATTCTCGAATGGCACCGCAATAAATTGCGAATATTCAGGCACTCGGCAATGAGCGATCGCTATCGATACAACAATCCGTTCCCGCGATTATTGGCCAGAAGCGATAGACAGCGTCCTTTGTACCGATGTCCTCGGGGGAATACGCTTTCCTTCAAAGCGTAAGGATAGCGGAAAGGAAGCACGATCGATAAAACTTCGTTGGAACGAGCGCTCGCGCCAGAATGCACCGATAATTCGATTGACTTCGGGTTCACTGAGGTCACCTCAGGTAGAAAAGCGGAATGAAACCGGAGACGTGACGATAAATCGAGAGTTGGTGCCGCCGGAACTGTTTGCTCCTCCTCGAGGGAAAGGAGAAGTAAAAACAAGTTCGCGGCTCGCGTCGACGACAACGCCGACGACAATCGTGGTGCGCTCATAGTATCGACAAATCTGTTTACCCTCTTTCTATCATTATATGTACTTCTGTCGCACTTTATATATATATATGTGAAAGAAAAAAAAAATATATATATATTTATTTATATACAAGGTGTTTGTCGTTAAGTGGAACATCCGTCATATACTTATAGTCTAGGTCAATGTAAACAAAAAAAGTCCTGTATAATTTTGCGAACAATCGGGCAAAATTTTGAGCTATTAATTAAAGAAAATTTCTATCAGCCATCTCGTTCGCTGATACACAAAACCGGACAAGTCGACGCGCAGTCGGGAGAGAGGCGACTCGTAATTTCATTTTCGGCTCATCGTAATTCAGCCCACGCGTGCGACCTTATACATATTTTACATATCGTCCGCTATATTTTGTTCGCATTCACCTAAACAAGCATATGACAGATGTCCCATTTAGAGACGGACACCCTGTATATATAATATTACATGTTTAAAACATTCCTACCGCTTCTCAAGGAGCGGTTTTATCGTGCGATTTTTGCGAAATTACTGCTGGAATTTTTCAATGAAAAATTCGTCCCAACATTTTCCTACGCGCGCCTCTCCCTTGAAGCGCAACGACACCAGTCAAGAAGAGAGTGACGAGAGAAGAAGAAACAAAAGTTAAACCGCGATCTAAACGAACTAAACGCACAAACCGAGCGATTTCATGCTCTCACCTGCTTTAACCAAGCGGTGGTGTTTCTCCTAATATGCTGATTCCCAGCTATCGTGGTGGCAAGAGTCCTTTGCTGCAGGCCGACATCAGCCCCGCCCTCGATAGCTAAGAAGATGAAGCTGCCCAATAGGGTGTAAGCCACCAGGAGGGCGCATATCCCGAGGTTTATAGCGAACCCCTTCAAGAAAGAGTGCTGGCTGGCCTTGTCCGGCACGCCGCCGAAGCACAGGCACCTCACTTGCCGAGATGGATGCGTCTTCGATCGTTCCGACGTCGACCTCTTCAGGGACGAGGTGTTGCCGTTGTTCGCCGGCTTAAAGCCCTCGTAAGCCCTGTAGGTAGGCCTGACGTTGTCCTTCTCCATCTCCTCTCGGTTTGCCTATCTACGGAGTCATCGAATTCCCTCGCCGTCAGCTTTGCATTCGTCGCTGGACACGTCGCCACATCCACGCACCTCGAGAAATCGCGCCGGCGAACGTGTACGGCTCGTGACGGAGATCACGCTAGACGATGGAGACTCAACGATAACATCACACTCGGCCACCGTCCGAAAACATCAGCAATGTCTCACACTTCGTGAAATGTTCGCGGACCCACCGACCGTTGACACGTCAATTGTCCTTCATTCACGGTCATTCGTTCTCTACGATTGCGCGCATCTCGCGGTGTCATGCCTCGCGATAACCAACGCGGGACCTCAGATAACCTCGACACGCGATCTGCGAAGGCGCGTTTTGCGAGCGACGAGTATCTTGTCGTAAAGTTTTCTGCGTACGCGCGTTCCCGCGTCTCGTAGATTCGATCGTCGCGGCTGCATGACTAGATTCCGCCGTGAACTATAGACTAGAGGACGGATTCCGCGTTTCCCCGCTGAGATACGCCCGCGTCGCCCACGGATGTCACTTTGATTTTCGTCACTGTCGATTTCTTATTACGAGGCGCGGTCGAAATCGCTCGACTGGATGATATCGCGGAAGGATTTTCCGACAGCAAAGGGACGACGCCCGATCGTACGTGGAGCGGACACTTCCGTCATTTTCCCATGGCACGATCGTCCCGGCTGGAATGCGGATTGGAATTCTATAGAGAAAATCGATGCTCGAAATATTTTCTGCGATATTAGTCACCTCTCAGAACCCTTTTGTTGACGATCGGAATCGACGCGCGCTTACTCTTTGGAAAAAATATTCTCGCGCGCGAGAGAAGATATTAATATCGAAACTTCGATAGTCGATACAATTTAGAAATTTCGTCAGTCCGGCTTTGATGTTTTCATGCTATTGCGATTAGCTTTGTGGTGGAAAATTGGAAAAATTTACGGACAACGTTCTCTCTCCTAACTTACTTGCGAGAGGAAAAAGGGAGAAATCGATCAGCAGAGTATCAATAATTTATCGTTGTTTTACTCCACAAATTAAAGATCGCAGCGAAGGCGGTCAATGTTGCGAGACTTTGACGGTGAACAGTTATTTATATATTCATCGTTGACTGTCTCGCGAGTGGAGTGCCGAATTGCACGACGGTAACGACTCGAGTTAGACGGCGTGATTTAAGTTCGTAAACGAAACGCAATACACTAATGTTACCTCGCATCAACCGATGCATTATCTCGCGCGGGAGAGACCGTTTTCCGGGGGAACCCGCTAATCTTTTCTCACTCTTTCCCCTCGTTCCCGCCCGCCATACTTCTCGCTCTCATCGGGAAAACAGAAACTTAAAGAACAGTGCGAAGGGAATTTCCGAAAGAGTCTCCATGAGTCACTTAAACTTTTTCCCCTACCGCTTGAATGCGAAGCCACTCGGTTTTACGCTTTTCCATCTTTTCTTCGGCTGTGAGCGCGAAAAAAAAAACGACGGATGGCAACGGAAGGAGATAGAGCACGATTCGTCGGCAGGCGATAGAAACTTCAAAGCCTCATTCCGACAAACCGGATTTCCGTAATAAGTAAGCTCGACGCACGTCCGTGGGTGCCGGTTCGCGCTGAATGTTTCTTCTCCGAAGCTTTTCCCTTATTTTATCCCTTCCTTGGCGAATTTCCACGTCGGTTTAATGCACCGTCGAACTGTCACAGCGATCTTGATGGAGAGAGAGAAAATCGGGCTTCCCACGCTTCGGAAAGCCGATTAGCACGCCCGAAGCTGAACCGGTAATTTACTCGCGTCTCCCTCAAGCGTCGCGATTGTCGCGTTTGCGTTCGCCGCATGTAAATAAATCCCGCGTTGTCTTCCGGGTCTCTTCTTGGAGCTCATCAGCACCGCCACTTTCGTGCTTCACTGGCTCCTGAAAGAAAAACAGAGACACTCGATTACTCACACTGGTTTCCACAAAAGAACGCGAAGAGTGTGCTGCGCGGTCGTTAACCCCCGCGCGCTTCTCCACGGTATCCCGATAATAATCCACCGCGCGCGAACATTTCGACGAATTATCTAACGTCACGGAGGACATTCGTGCTTCCACAATATCATCGAAGAATTCAATACACTCGGACGAGTTTTATTCCCAGCCGGGATAAGAGTGAGGATCCGGGCATCGACGTTGCACTCGTCCGTGACTGTTTCGACGTTCTAAGAAAGACGGTTGAATTCCAGAAGGACTTTCGACGTAGAATTATTCGAGGGCCCTGGGGGAAATCGCGGAAAACTTCCATGCTACGTGTTTCCCCGTGCACTTTCCTCGGTCACCTGGAGCTTTCCAGCGGGGACAATAATCGACGGCCATGGTAGACTCTACCATTACCGGAAGTACAAAGGAGGAGGGACGGGACGAGCGGTAGACGGGACCTTCTATCCCGCGGATCGTGCCGAATGACGATGGATTCCGCGCGGAAAATATTGCTTTCTTCGTACATTCGACATCCATAAATGCATAGCAAGATCAACCGATCTGCGACACCGGCTTCTTTATCCTTCAGCGTGATCTAAGACTCGGGCTTCGCCGGGATGGGATGCGGACCGGGTAACGGATCGGGTTTGAAACTTTCATGGACGATGATTTGCATTTGGTGTATCATCCGTCGCTACAAGCGCTCGCTGCACCGCTCAATGAACCCTTGCATCCGATTGCTTTGTACTTTCAGATCGTCGTCGGATCTGAAAGTACGTAGCAACCGGGTCCGAGAGTTCACCAAGCGCTTGCAGTTTACCAAATGCGTGCACAGAGCGTAACCTGACGGACGGTCCGCGTGGCGAAGGCGTGGTGTATTATTTTTCATATTAAAACGTTGTAACATTGCTTTAACGCCTCGCACCGCAGTCACGTCTGCCAGACGCGGTGCTTTTTGAGCGTTTTCACCTTAAACAGACGCGCCACGTAGTCAGCCGAGTTAAACGCCAGCTGAATGTCGCCTCGACTACAAATGCAACACTTTCCTTGATAATCAGACGAAATCTGTTAATTATGCGTTTCAGAATGAGAATGGGTATAAAGACCGCAACAATGGCGGCGTAACAGTAGTCTGAAGTATCTAAGCTCGGGCTAATAGCAAGGGAAAGTGGAACGACGATAATAGCGGAATATTGTCCAGAATTCACCCTCCGCTGGTCACGGTCGTCTAAATATGCGCGTTATGCGCGATCTTGCGTAGTCCGGCTACTGGCAGACAATCGCATTCGCGCGACATGACCGAAATAAACACGTCGGATACTAACTCGACGCTAATTTATCGTTCGACGTGATCGATCGTTGCACTCTCTTTGCGGCGAAGAAACGATCTCGCCGCGGAACAAACTGCCAGCCCAGGCTGCCGATCGTAAATCGGATCTGATCTCTCTTCCTTTCGTCTCGATTCGCAATCCTCTCTCTCTCTCTCTCTCTCTATCCCCCTTTTTTCCTTTACGACTTATTTACGAGCTCTCGTTTCTGACGTCGCGAACGTTCCCGCGAACGACTGATATTCCCACCGTTATTGCCTGCCTTTATTTATTGTTTATTGTAAATAATCGTTCGTATCCTCTTTGATTATAGATCGCCCGGATAAGACCGCGCGCGGTCGTTAGCGCGTTACAAATGTCCTCCGCTGTTATACTTTAAGAATGATAAACACCGCGCCTTGAGAAAATTAACCTCGATTTTTTTTCACAAGTTTGCTCACATATCGATCGGCCTTAACTTAAATAGAATGTCTTAGGATACACGCAGTGGTGGGTGTAAAAAAAAAAACCGTCTTGGAATTGCGTTTATAATAAAACTGACAAAGTGGTTGAAACTGGACGAGCTGAACTACGGTGGAAACGAAGTCGGACGTGCACGTCATCGTAACAATTTTCCCGAGCGATTTTGTTTTAGCGCGATGGTATTCTCTGTAGCAGGCACACACGCACACACACACACACACACATATATATATCGATATATCCCGGGCTTTCGTCAATTTAAAATCGCATGTTTCACGTCGGGGACGTTATTTCACAGAGATTGCGTCACAGCTGGCTCGTACATTAGCATTTATAACCAATTCGCAGCGAGAATCGAAGGATAACCGGCACAAAAGTCGATTACATCACCGACGGCTTCGCCGCCGACGATCACGGAGGTAGAGCTTTATGGTGGTGGTCTCGCGGCGCGGGTGAACAGGGGGGCGAGTTCGGCGGGTCCAGGGTGGTTAGCGGGGAGGGAGAGGAGTGGGGCGAAAAATGTGCAAGGGAGGAACGAAATGTGAAGAGAAGAGGAGCAAGGGGGAGTACGAAATGCAATTTTTCCGTTCGGCGCTTTTTCCAGCGACAGGGGAACCACCTGTGCTCGTCTCAGCGACTTTTAAATTCGTACCATTGTCGGCTCTATTTGCTGAAAAATGTTTATTCAATTTCGTTTACCGTCACTGCAAGATATTTACCCGGTCGCTTTTGCTCGAACAGTTCTCGCGCCATCGCGAACGATGGGAATTGGATGACGCACGGATACGACGAGGGGGAGGGTGTGGAGGGAGGGGGAGAAGAGGAGGTTAGGCGAGTAAGTTCACGGTGTATATGCAGGACTATATTTTTCTGCGGTGAGCCACGTACATACGTTTCGCGATATCGAGAAGACTAGTGCGAACAAAATTTGATATTATTCATTTGTCTTTTTAGAGACTTATTTACCTTAACTTGGAGAGTCGGCATCATTTATGCCGTACCATTCGGAAAATTACACGATTTTCAACCTTGTGTATAATCTATAGTAAAAATCGCACAAATAACGTACAAAAATCGTACAAATAACTTTAATTGTAACGTATGATAGGCTTTGAACGAAAATGCTGTTTCACTAGGATAAGCCATGAATGAACCTGGAATAAGCCAAGAACCAAAGAAATACGCTATTTGATATAAAAATATTTATTATTTTAAAAGCCAAACAATCTTGTTTGTTGAATCAAATGTTCGTTTGTTTGCTCCATTCCAAAAGACAAATTTGTTTCAGTTGAAGAAATTTTCTTAAATCCAAAGAAATCTTTTTTCTGCGTATACGAATGACTGAAAATCGTATAATTTTCGATCTAGGGAATAATGCAGCATACATGGACGTCGACTATACATTGCAACATTTTAGAGTGTGCATCGAAAGACAAACATTCCTTAATATTTATTTATTAGCGTTCCTACAACAGTTTGCGATTTTACGTACATATGTGTAAGGTAAAATTGTACAGGTAACCTTGGTCACGATATTAAAGGGTATATGCCCGTATATGTATGGCGTAAACAACTCATAGTGCTCTCCAGGATGGTATAACTTTATATGTTGAGGCAATTATGCTCGTTAAAGTACTTCACACTCGGCGCTCGGCCATTGGTCAGACGGTGTTAATATTTAAAGTAATGTTCGGAAGCTATTACCGCGACTCACGCGCACCGCGAAAAGCCGCGACGGAAATCCACAGATAAATTGCAGAAGTTGTATAGAATGTGTCCAGAAATAGTGAGTTACGCGAGGAACGTTTGAGGGCTTTCTTCGTGTGCGCATTTCACGACGTACGGTTGCATTTCGTGCGGATATAAATCTATAAAATAAATCGACGATCTTAATCATTGCGACGAAAATAGGGTCGTACGTGCGGGCTGAATTACGATGAGCCGAGAATGAAGTTACGAGTCGCCTCTCTCTCTCTCTCTCTCGACTTCGTGTCGACTTTGTCCGGCTTTGTGTATCAGCGAACGAGATCGCTGTCGGCGATAGAAATTTATGGCAGAATCGAAACCCTCGAAAATTTCATTAAGCCGTCCGTATAGCGATATTGAGAACCGACGGCGAACCGATCGAAAATGGAAGTTACTATCGCGATATAATGCATTCGACGTGCCACGTAGGCTATGCGCAAAACAAGTTTATCACTTTATATACACCAATTAATCATCGAGGGCTATAAATGTCTCTCAAATGTGTATTAGATAACACAACAAGTCTGCGGAAAAATTAACATGTTTCTTCTCACGATTAGAAGCCAAATCGTAGTAATAAGACAAATTGGAGTTCGACGTCTATTTATTGCCTTTGTGAAAAATTACAGATTTAAGAAAATATATATTTCCCCATTTGAGATACACTTTATTTCAGTATAAAAACACATACAGAGGAAGTGCAGTGTAAGTATATTATAGAATACTCTAAGGTTGTTTTAATCAAAGACTACCAGACTATTAGAGACAATTGAAATTAGTCTTCGTACCGGGCTGCCACTTTGTAGATAAGGTTAGATTAGGAATCCAGCAGGTAATAATTCCACTGCCATCCGCCGAGTTGCGACATTTAACAAGACGGGATCGTGGTATTCCATATTATCTGACTATTCCATATTACCCGACTATTCCATATCACCCGCATTTCCTCCGCTGGTAAATACGTAAATATGCGTTGCTAGTACCTCAAAGGAATATTTTCCATTTCTTAGATAATTTTCCTCTCAATATCAGACTCCTTTCTCGAAGGAGTTGCAAAATCAGCGCGGTTAACTTTCCGGCGGATGAGCGAGGCGCGATAAGATAATCAAGCCGGCTCAAATCGACCCGTAACGAGGACCGGAGCGAAGCATCGGGGAAAAAAATGCACACCGGTGTCTCCTCCTTGTTAACTTTCCTCGGCGTTCCGCACGGGTTTCAGACGACACGGCGCTAACTTTTTCCTCAGGACCGGTTCGGGTTAGCCATACGGTCTTATCCGCGCGAATTGGACACGCCGAGCGCGCTCGAGGCGGCCGCAAGAAACTGCGGGGAGGAGAAACTACGAAGAAGAAACAAATAAGGACGATACATCCTCGCACA